CACAGTGTGGGTAGGTATGAGTTGAACACAGTCTTTTACTGATAAACAGTAGAACCCCATTTTTCTGAGTCTCCAATATCTAGCTCTCTCTGTAACCAAAAGCGACAAGGAGTCTTGTAGCACCTTATAGACTAACAGATGTATTGGAGCATAAGCTTTCGTGGGCAAAGACCAACTTATTCAGATGAATCTGACGAAGTGGGTCTTTGCCCACAAAAGCTTATGCTCCAGTACATCTGTTAGTCTGTCAGGTGCTACAAGACTCCTTGTTGCATTTGCAGATCCAGACTAACATGGCTACCCCTTTGATATTTGTGTTAACCAAGTCACCAGCTACCTGGGAGTCGCTGAACCCTGCTACTTTCAACCCCAGGCTGTTGGTTGTTTGATTAACATATAGAGTTGAATGATAGAGGCTGAATGATGACATATAGAGCTGAATGATGGGTAAATGGGGTTCTACTGTATGTAAATTTAAAGCACATTCAAAAATCAACAAGGGGAAGATTCTGCACATTGAACAAGTGACACTTTCAGAATATAGTAGTTAGTTAATATATGATTTTTCTACAATACTAAAGATTCTCTAAAAACATAAATTCTGCATTTTTCTGTGGATCCCTAATCATAACTAATATTTTTGTGATGAGTATGAGAAAAAGGGAGAACCTGTCCCCATGAGTGGTCCTGTCTCATTTACGATCTAGCCATTTCTTTGTGTCTCCGTGGCACTGACTGGGAGCTGCTTTACTTAGCTGTTCTGATTTCTACATATTGAAAAATACAAAGAGGAAAATATCCACTTGCTGCAAAATAAAATTACACACAGAGTTGTTAAATTCCAAACTTACAAGCAGTATAAGATTTCACAAATTGTGCTAGTAGTGTGATTTGACTTGCTAACGATAATTCCTCCCTGCTGCTTCTGCAGTATCTTGCCTAAAGGGGCACAAAAAATTAAAAGTAGTAGTAGTGTTGACATAGTAGTGTTACAAGCAAAATTACAGATATCAGGCTTCTAATAAATACATGTAAATGACATTTACAGCCATCTAAGTTTAATGATCCCAGCACTGTCCTCCAACCTTTGAAAGCAAAATCTTATTTTTTTAGAACAAGTGAGTTTTTTTTATACTGTTGATATGTTTGTGCTACTTGAAGATTTGAAAGTGATTTAAGGTATCTCTAGTGTACAGCTCTCTAATCTGCAAATTGCATCTTTTGGAGGTTGGACATGTCAGCTTTCAGGGACAGTTAGCGTTGAAGAAGATACGGTTGTGCTACTTTAATTTTGAAAGGGAAACAGGCAAGAAAATTTAGATTGCTGTAGAGTCCTTGTCTTGCAACTCACCACAGTTCTTGTAATATTTCAGTTGGAAGTACCAGATAGGTTCTGTGTTCTTTCAATTGCTCTGTCCATATTTGGATAAAATGGAAGCAGTTAATGCCCTCAAGGAGAAAAATATTGTTTGAACTATCTTATGGCTTTCTGTTGTTAGAGGTGATTGTGGAAGAGAGTGCTTTCAAGTAGGCACTAAATTATCCCCTACAAAAATAATACTTATGGACTCAGAATGTATTCTGCATGGGGGCTGAATAATTAAGTCATTATTTTTGTAGCTGTTAAGAGCTAGGAGCTTATTCCCATCTCTCCCTCTTCCAAGCCTGAGATAAGTCAGTTTTGTCTCTTGACCTAGACAAATTAAACTATATTTTTGTAGCAGAATTAGTCCAGATGAGAAATACCAATTTGTGAGGGGTAAATAATACCTGTTAATTTGATTAGACTAAAATATTATTGTCTCATAATCAAAAGAGCATTTAAAATCAAGGTTTATGTAGTATAGGTATTGTAAAATGATTAATCTGGAGCATTAGAAAAGAGCTATAAAGCATGAATGGTGTAAACTCCCCAAAAGCAGAAGTCTTAAATCTAATTCTTTGGCTGATGGCCATATTTCCATTCTTCCAGCCAAATGAGTGTGCTTGGATGGGAGGATGCCTTATATAGGCAAGAGAATGTAAGTACTTAAGTATGCTATTAAAAAAGGTCCAGATAGCTAATCAGAATCCTGTTATAATATGCTAGAGATTTGTCATGACCATGGAGTACTGAGTGTCCAAGATCCTTCATTTCTTCTTCATGCTCACTAGAAAAATTCCAATCTCAATCCTCTTTCATTTTATTTATTTAAATGTCCCCTCTCTGACTTTGTGATTCTCTACTTACTCCAGTCTATTCAGAATTTGTCTGGTAAAATCATTTTGCCTGCCCACTACCCTGACTACATTACTCCTGTGTTCAAAGCTCTCCACTGGTTACTATTTGTTTTCCACTTCAAGTTCAACTACAGTAAACTTCCGATAATCCGGCATCTTTAGGACCCAGGGAGTGCCGGATTATCAGATATGCCAGACTATCGGAAGGGGGGGCTATGATGGGTCTGGGGTGGGGTGGGGACTCTGCTCCAGGCATCCTGATTCAGCCGCTGCTGGTCAGTTACAGCAGCGGCTGAATCCGGGACACCTGCAGGAGAGCAGCTGGAGTGCTGCCAAGGTGGGCCCGGAAGGGCGGC